TCCTGTTCTAAACTTTCAGCCAATATGAAGTTCAACTTTTGAAGTTATAGATGAAATCATTTTCTCAATTTCTGACAACAGACTCTATGATGTCATACTTTACCCATAATCCTTTGCTGAAGAATCAAGATGGCGGTCTACATAAATTGATGAAAAATTCAATATCTAGAGAATGAGAAGTGATATAAAAAAAAACTGTAAATTGCATGTTCTTACATTTGCTGAGCTCTTCCATCGAGGAGTATTATGTTGTTAGCCTTGACTTTCACTTTAAGTTGCAAAGAACGAACCAAGCAACACTATTGTCCACAATATGAATGTAAACCAACAGATTTAGAAATTGGCGGAACTAAACACTCACAGTAATATATCACTGATTACAATCGGACTAGAAAGGCAGAAAAGACGGCCTGTTTAATTATTTCGATCATGGTAGATACGCTAGGGAGCACTAGCACATCGCACTCTTAGATTAATGTTGTGGAATTTACGCTCGATTTCATTCCACATACAGTCGTGAAATCGAAAACTATGATTAAAGAAAACGAAATTAATGTATGGTCTGTAGCGTGACCGTTGTCTGGAGTATGGAGTCGAGTGTAATATATTTCAATCCCACAGTCAGCCCGTCACAAGAAACGCTGACGCTATGTTGCCCTCTGTTGTATATATTATCATGTATACTTTACACATGTAAGGTTATAGGAAGAAATACAATTACGAATGCAACGAATACAAATACACAATCACGGCAACAAACTAACTGGAAAAAGAATAACGATTATTAATAAATACATTTTGCAGAAGATCAACAAAGTTTTGGAGCCGCACTATCGTGTTGATAAAAAAAGAAGCACGAAAACGTAAAATTCGACAACTGGAACGATCAAATCGAATTCAGTCGCCGACACACTCCAGGCAGTCTATAAACTTAAAGGTCATCGTGCTTTAATCAAAACTAACACGTGTAAGGGCCAGATCAGTATTTCTGTGCGAGGGATACAGTGTAACGATAAATTACGAGTTTACACAAAAGCATCATGAATGAATTCAACGAAGAAGTTGAAAGAAACATGTAAATGAGTATATTATTGCTCAGTGTAATTGTAATCTATTTTGAAGACAATTGAATCAAGTGATTTGTACACAGGTCCGTTGGCATTAAACGTTCCGACAGGACACGGATTTGAATACAACCTCGCACAGCTGGTCGGTATGAAATCTATATCAAGAACATTGCTGAAATTAACAAGTATGTTAATCACCGTCATACCCAACTGCAAGGCCAGATATCATTCGGGAGAAGTCAATTCGAAGCAATTAAAATCGATGGGACTCTAGTGATCAGCGCTGTTTAGTCCACAACTTGTGGCTATATCTAATTACACTCTCTTATCGGAATTATCCATGATGACCTTTTCATTTAGCCAACACATCAATTAATTGATGGGTTAATGCTGGCAGGCATTGCACTGTTTAGCTTCGCGTCCCTGTTAAATTTATTACTAGTGTATTACGAATCTGCATCATGTTTCGTGTATACAAATACTGTACAGACGTGCTTTTCTAACTTGTCCTTGCCGTGAAAAATAATCCGTAGCTTGGGGTGACTGTATAGAAAATACTAAGTGAACAATCTTAAGCTTAGGCTTAAAAACAATTTAATGGATGACACAATTGAGCCAATTTCTATCTATAAAAATGTATTTTCAAACAATCTTCTAATAATTCAATGCAGCTATCTGTTTACATATTGACATAATTTAATCCCCTTTCAACAATACCTGATAATGTGTATACCGGTATTATTTCCTTTTCGTAAACAATGTTTAAACCCTTCAATTATATTTTTTCTAATATTATCATTGTTTCCAAATAAATATAAATTGATAAATATTCTTTTCTGAACAATGTTTGAACATTGTTTAAATACTCGATGACATTATTCACATATTTTCATTGCTTGATAACTTAGGAATTTAATTCCGTTTCCTAGACAATATTCGAATCTTGCAATGATGTTCTTCGCATACTATTTTCCCTGACATAGTATATATTTAATACTCTTTCTTAAACAATGTTTGAAACTTGCAATGTTATTCTTTACATACTGTATTATCACTGTGGCTTGAAAATTTATACATTTTAATCTGTTTCCCAAACAATGTTTGAATCTTCTAAATATATTCTTCACATATTTTCGCCCTATGATATATACATTTAATACTGTGTCCTAAACAAAAGTTTTAATTTTCCAATGATATTCTGCAAATAATATATCATTGTTGTTTGATAATATATATGTATATATATATATATATATATATATATATATGATTTTCCTTTCTTGCACGAAGGTTGAATCTTCCAAATATATTGTTCACATTTCCCAATTGTTGCATGATAATGTAAATCTTTTTCTAAACACTGATTGAATCTTTTAATATACTAAGTATTGTTCACATATTACCCTTGCTGTCTGTCGATGTATGTATTATATTCGCTTCACATATTGTCATTCAGTGGCGGATCTAGAGGGGGGCAAGGGGGCCATGGCCCCCTCTAAAGGCATGAAAATGCATCTGGGCTACGCATAGCATCGTCCGAATCGCACTGTCCCGTGTATTCGACCTATAGGCCTGGATCCCCCCAATACATTTTGCTGGATCCGCCCCTGTTGTCATTGCTGCTACACAGTGTATTTTATTATCAGAAATGTTAGGAACAAATTACAGATAGCTGCACTAACTTGAGGGTTCGGAATTAGCGGCGGTCTTAAGCTTGCGTCCCAAAACCGCCGCATCATTTTTAACCATGAAATTTAATTGTTGGAGGTCCCTCCCCCCCCAAAAAAAACAAAAAACCGACCACACCTCCAATGCATAGTTGAGATCGCAGCTTTGAGGAAATCACTGAATGATTGTGTGAATAAAATATATTACTACATGGAAGAACATTTACTTATTTTGTCATATATATATTTGCGGGTAAAAAACCATTAATAAATCATATGTCATTAACTGATAACGCAAAATTACAAACACCATTTTATCATTTGCGGGCTTCTTTGTCACGTGATATTTCTTGGCAAGCACGTGATAATTGTCGTATTTGACTGAAGCTGGTTGTTATATATTAGTAACTACTATAATAATCCTCCAAGTATATGTTTGATATATGTATCACCAAGTGTTTGTAGGTAAACGCACGACGTCTAGTACGTGAAATGTATTGTAGTTTTGTGGGCCGCGTCACGCACGAACTTCGAAGACGCCTGCATCGTAATCCAACAACAAATCAA